GAGAGTGTGGTCGTAGAGCGGTCGCAATGACCGCCTTTCACCATTTGTTGTCATCGGGATGGGATCCGTCGAAAAGTTCTCAACTTTTTAATCCATCCCTTTCGTCCAAACTTTTGATGATTAATAGTGCGTCCCCGCGTCGATGCTTTCGCTCGTGTGGCCTCTCTCTTTTTATTCGGCGCTGTTAATCTCTGCGCGCCATTTCCCCCGCGGCTGTTTTAATCATGAAGCGTTTCCACCCCATGGCGCCGCGCCGCGCCGCACCAAGCCATGCGGTGTCGCAACAAGTACCGAGTGGCTAGCCTCGCCGTCTCACCTACGGGCTCTTCCCCTCTCTCTCTCTCGCACTCGCCGCCCCGTCAGTGCGAGAGAGACAGACGAACAGGACGCGCGTCTCGGAAACCAGCCTGCCGCGGGGGCGGAGGTGCCTCTACGTTGGCCGTATCGTGGGTGTGAGATCTAGATAGCGGGGCGACCTTCCTCTGTCTTAAGCTCCCTCCCTTCCTTCCTGCCGACTTACTTCCCGACATTGAATCATTTTTTCCTGCCCGGCAGTACAGTACACTGTCTGCAACGCATTGAAACGAATTGCTGAAATTTGGCACCAAAAATGATGAAATTCTAGAGCTTTAACACATTTATAATGTTTTAAAATTGAAAATACAGTTTCATTATCAACATGAAAGTTGTAACTAGGGAGGCAGAATGATGTATTTGAACTTTGGAATGACTACTCCATGAAAAAGTCCTTCCTTCTCACCTCATGGATTTTTTTCTCCCTCTGACGCACCTCTCTTTGTCTTGCCGGGCCGTTGTCGGGGACTTCCCAACCCACTCATCACCGCAGGGACCTTGCGACCAAATTTCCTCGTTCGACAAATAAACGGTGCCAGAGCAAAGGCGCCCGGTGCTGGCGAGCTTATCCCGGCTTTTCTTTCCTTTGAAGTTTTCTGTCGTTGTTTACACTTTTCCGCTCGCTCTTGCTGTTGTTGTTGCGAGCGAGATGAGCGTGCCGCCCTCCTTGCCCGCAGCGCTGCGGGACGGAATAGGTCAGGGCGCATTGGGCTACTTACCTGCGCCCTTTCTTTCCTCCGCCTCCACGGATCTCTCTCTCTCGCTCTCTCTCTCTCTCCCCTTTTTCTGTAAGTACTCTCCTCCCTTGCCGTGCCTCAGTGTGTGTTAAAGGAGCCCCAAGGGCTGATGCCTCGTGACATTGACATTTTTTTTAGACGGGCTGCTCCACTTTTAGGCCAGTGTGGTGCCAAATGTCCCTGCGGAAAAGCAACTATAGTGTTCTTCTGGAGCCATAACCTCGGTGCCGCAAGGCTGCAGAGGAAAAGTGGGTTTAAGAAAGAGGAGAACATCGCCGTTCGTCTCGACAAACAATGAGATTCATTGCTGCTATGAAGGGTTCTTCTCCCGACCTGTGAGCCATCAGCGGAGTCACGAGAGTGAGAAGAAGGAGCAGTGTATGATCCGAGTGATTACAGAACACCTCGTGGCCTGCACTGGAAAGGGTGCGGGAAACGCCGACGTTGGCAGCCGGCGGGCGAAGCGGGGTGAAGCTTCCCGAACTACACTTCAAGTGGAAGAATTGGCTCGCCCTTATTTATTTTTCCCCTTTTCCATGGCCCCCCTTTTTTGCCAATGAACGGCGAGAGTTGAGCCTTCGACTGCCTTCGGCCACTAACCTCCATTTCCCATCGTTTCGCCGAATGGCCCCGCTGCACGCCAAATCACATGCGAAGAGAGAAGTCGTCATGACGCATACAAACGGGGCCCATACCACCGCCGCACGCCCCACCACGCCCCACCACGCCCCACCGCACCCTACCGCGCCCCGCCGCGCCCCACCGGCACCGCGCGTACGCCCCGGCGCACGATACAGCACCGCCATCCCAGAAGCCACCGCGGAGCCAACATAACGTCACACGCAATGAAAAGTTGGCATTAGGGGTCGTAGTCGACGTAGTGGGCCAGATTCCGACATTATATCCCCCGCTAGGTTATACCCATCATCCCGTGCGTCTCGGCGGGGCGGGGCGGGGCGGGTGGGCCACTCTCCACGCCGCATAAACTTTTGCGAGCCTATCTGGCCCCGTCCGCGGCTCGCGTTGTATCCCGGGCCGCCTCGCCGCCTCGCCACCCGCGCCTCCATCTTACCAACAGTATGTTTTCGCATGCCAAGGGGAAGGGCCGAAGGGAAGGGAAGAACGGGACCAAAAAATATCGAAGCCGGAGAAAGAAGAAATCTGCCGGGGAGGATAAATATTTCCACGTGCGTGCTCTTTCATACCGGGGAGGCTAGGCGCAGGTGTGTGTGTGTGTGTGAGAGAGAGAGAGAGAGAGAGAGAGAGGGGGGGATGGGAGGATGGGGGTGGTTATCCGAGGAGGGGAATAAATGGAAGTATATCGGCCCCTGTCTTGTATTTGTAAGATTGGTTCGTCTAACAATACAAACACCCCTCTCCGCGGATGGATAAAAACCTTCCAACGACCACGGCTCCTTTTCTCTTCGTGACTGTGCACCCGTTTGTGTGTGGCTGAGAGAGAGAGGGAGAGTAACCGGTGCGGGAGGGAGCTCGCGAGGCCTGCTACGACTCCAGCCGTCCGCGAGGGCGACTCGCAGTGCCCTTCGACCTCGCCACTGTAAGCTACGCACTGGCGCCTCGGCCGTGCTGCCATTGATTGGATGTGGAGGCACACACGCGACGCGGCTGGCCAGCCAAGGACGCCTTCCTCGCTGATTCCAGAGAAAGCGACGGGACTGACCCCGCTGCATGTGTGCCCCGGAACAAAGTATGTAACAAGGGCGCGCCGAATGCACTCCACGCATTTCCATGCTAAAGAGGTTTACACGATCGGCCGCCTTCGCCCTGACCTCAGCCAAATAAGGCAGTCGTAAAACATACTGCAAGGTGAAACTCGCGGCAGGCCTCTTTGTGAGTTTTTACTTTGTTGGTGTTGCCGCCAACAGATAGGGCGCGGTTGGTACCGGTTCGGGTACGCGTGACTGGAGGGGCTCGGAACGGGCGGGGAGCGGCTGGCGGCGCTGGCGTGGCGTGGCGGGGAGTGGCGTATCACGGGGTAGCATTCGTGATCGGTCGCTGGGCCCTTTTATTTCCAACATCCAACCGCCTGTTTAGCATTCCGTGATAAGCCCCACACGCAGACCCCTTCCACTGCGGAGGGCCGGCTGGGCCACCCAAGGCCGCCGACGGCCCCCTACCCCTGCTGCAGGGCCCTGCCCGCCCTGCCCCGGCACTTGCCGGTCAGCTGGTTTCAATTCATTAAATTCCTTTCCCCGTCCGCATTAGATTTCCCAGATTTGCGGGCGCCTGACCCCGCCGCCTGGTCGTTGTCTGGGACGTTGCACCCGGGAGGCGACGGGGCTTGATTGGGGGGAGGGGGAGGGGGCTGCAAGGAAGGCACGTCGAAGGCCGGCAAACAGACGTGGCTCACGAACCCACCGCTTGCAGTCTTTCTCGTGGGAATGATATGAACTGAGTAGATCCAAACAGCGATACTGAGCTCGGTGGCGTTGTTTCGAAAACAGAGAAAGAAGAAGAGCAGCAAAAGCTATCGCACCCGTTGGCCGTTGGTGCGCTTGGTCAGCACAGTCAGCAAGAGAGGGTTCGTGTTTTCACCCCGGGGGTGTTCAAAAGTGTCGCGGCTAGCGACGCGCTCATGGAACCCTTCCCCCGCCCTCTGCCCTCACACACGCCACACCCGCACACATGAAAGCGAGCCGGAAAACCAGGCCGGATTGAACGGGGCGCTTCAATATTTGAGGCAGAAGAGGAAGCGCCGCGAGGCTGAATGGCACCCGCAGGGCCAGAGGGCGCCGACACCGCTTTGTTTATCTTTTTTATTTGTTTGCCGCCACAGCGCGCTCGCTCCACCTCAATGTGTGCTTTTGCCCCGAACGCCGAAGAAAATGACCGCCCAGTCGTCCGTGTGCAGAGATTTTTCCCACTCAGGTGGACCGGGTTCCATCTCGTCAAAACCAACATTGGAGAGGGTATAGAGGGTATTTAATTTATTAATTTCGATGCTGACTTGCTCGTCTTGTTTTGGCTGGATGAGATCAAAAGAAGACGAAATACAGACACTTGCGCCGTCTGGGGTAAGGTGAACTATTTTTAAAACCCTTCACTATGCACGTGTATCAACAATGAAATGCACATCAATAAAAAGAAAAGCAAAGCAAAACATTTTTTCCCATAACCTTGCTTGTCGGCTGGCTGGTTACTATGGAAAGCACGCCTGCCCCGTTGCTGAGTAGGCGACCTGCCCCAAGTGCGTTGCTATAGCAGCAGGGGGCACTACCCGCGCCCTCCACACCCATGCAGCTAAACGATTGCAAGGACTTCTTTGGGGCCCGACATAAATTTGGATCGTTTTGTTTTACTGCAGTGCCGAGCAGGGTGACCTTGACACCGCCTTCACGGGACTGACGGGTTGGGGGGGTTTGTGTTGGAGATCGGAAGGGGCGGATTTGGAGAATGAGACTGCGAGAGGTAGGCAGATGTTGTGCGGGAATACTGTCGATTCTGCTGTACCGGCACATCGGCTCAAGATACGTAGCCACGTCGCTTCCACCAATTTGGAGAATCCTTCGGAGCGCTTTGCGAGTCAAACACGCGTGGTTGGCGTGGGTATATATTCAACCCCCTCGGTAAACACAAACCCCTCCCCCGACACTTTCTCGTGGGGCCTCGCGGGGATGCCCCGCTCAGACATACAAACACAAGCAGGGGGAGAGCGCCAGCCTTGTTGATACGCGCCATTGGTTATCCGTTTTACACCGATGAATTTGTCATAAAGGCGTGAGATTTGCACACGTGCGAGGTGATTGCGGACGTGAGCAGTGGAATTGGGCACTCTCGCATAAAAATGCCAGTTCTGAATGAATTTGACGAACATAGTGAAAATTCCACTCAAAATTGGTTTATGGGACCTTCCGAAGATTATCAATTAAATATTGGTTTTGATTCCAGGTTGCTGGGCAAGATGGAGAAGAAGTGTAGCGGTCATTTTCGGACGGCGTGTTGATCAGCCAGCTCCAGCTCAAAAAGGTGAGTCAGACTATACCCAACGAACGCCATAGAAAATGCGTCGCGAAGGCAAACAAGTTGCTAAAATGTTCGAGAGAATCCTGTCCTATGCGGCTGGCGGTTGAGTCGGGTCTCGTCCCACCCGTCAGGCACGCCCTGCAAGGCCGTGGCGGAAGCGGCCAAGCCGCAGACAGCTGCCGGCTGGCCTTTTCGGCCTGCTTTTGCCATGTGCACTGCGGCCGGCGCTGTGGTCGGCTGCAGTAGCTCCATGGCCCCATGCCTCATTAGCCAGCCAGACCGCAATGACAATGCAGCTGCACAAAACACAGCCCATGGCCCCGAAATGAGTATTGCTGTTTTATAACGGCTCAGTAAGTGAACCTTTTCTTTCTTTGTAATTGTTAAAGTCCTGGAAATTCGTGTAAAGTTTAAAATAAGTTTGCACAAATCTTTTTTTGCTCAAAAGTAATTTTTTTTTGTGTCCTCAACCAGTGTCTTTGTCACCTCCAGCACGGTTGCGGACCTCACTCTGCTTCGGTACAAAGACCGAGCTGAGCCACTGGGCCGGTGAGAACGGCGCACAACAGTATATACGAGCCGAAGTTTCGGTGCAGCGGTCTTTCTATTGCATCGCCTGGCCAAGTTTTGTAGCCCGCTCCCGAATAATGCACTTTGTTTTCCTTTATCGGCGCCTTTGCTCACTGGGGCGGGAAATTGTCTTGTGATCGAGAACGGATTAGACGTTGCGGCCTCGCTGCCGGAACCGGCCTTTGTTCGGGCACCGGTCAAGGGGCAAAATTCTTTCATTTGCGATGATTTCGGCGTTCAAACCTGGAATAGTTAGGATTGTTCTGAGTCAGCTGGTCGCGGCAAGTCTCTCGTGCCCAAAATACGTGCCCGAACTGGCCTTCTGGCCCGCTGTGCGTGCGTGTGTGCGTTGCAATGGTACTGGCGATGCCGCCACACTCTGCGACTGCCGCGCTGACTGCGCCCGGTGGGTTGCAAGTGTCATCGCCTCCCACGCAAATAGGGCCACGCCCGCATAGCGACGCCTGTTTGCTCGCCCGACGGAGCGCGGTCTGGCCGGCGGGCTGACGGCTGCACGACAGGCACGCCCGACCATGCGCGGTGCACACTGCACCCACTTTTCGCCAGCCGTCAGCGAAAACGCACCCGGAAAAACGGGAAGCACCGTCGCAGTCGCAGGCAGACAAGTATAGCGCACGGAGTCCAGGTTCGCTCCCCTCTGTCGTCGCTGATATGTCGTGCGTAACAAATCGTTTCCCTTGCACACTCAAAATGTCATTGGACTTTTTTTTTGTAGGAGCCTCCGTGAATAGCAGAAGGCCACATTGCAATGATCACACCAGTCTCGTGTTTCCTTTTTTTTGCCTGTAGGGTTGGTGGCGTGCTGCAGTAACATCAAACCAGATCAAACCGACATAATTGGCCGCTGGTAAACGGCCAAAGCCGTTTTTCCTCGACCAGAACCGCGGGCGTGGGGGTCAATTCACAGTGTGACACGAAGCAATACGTGCAACCCTTCTTGCGTCGAGATATTGTGTGTGCGTGCGCGCGTGTGTGTGGGGGTGTGTGTGCGTGGGTGTGTAATGGCCCGTCAGCCTGGACGGTCCACACGCATAGGCCGGTCAAGCCCCCCGCACTGCCGGCCTGTCACCCTCTATTCCCTGTCAGGTCAAGACCGGCAGGGCCGTGGGTGTGACCGAAGGACCGAAGGACCGACGGACCGGAGGGGCGGGGGTGTCTGTCTAAAGCGCACCGGCCAATCTACTGGCATCTTAATGCCCCCCTCCCCTTTTCCAGCCCGCCCCAAAGTCGTCGCCGTCCGCGCGGCCCCGACAGGACGGCTTCTGATGGATCAAATATCCGACACGTATCACGGGCGTGGCCGGGCGTGGCGGCGCGTCGAGGGGAGCCCTGGCGACGCCCTCCCGTTTCCGGGCGGGGATTTTGCCGCCGTGTTCGGGCGACACTATTACGAGGGCCGCGTGAAAAATGCATCGCGGCTTTGGCCGGGACGATGATGAAACACAGCGCGGCACCGTGCCTTCGGCTCGACGGCGGTGGCAGCGCTGTTTGCTGCTTGTGTACTACAGCGCGGATTCAGTCAGAATCGCATTTGCATCCCGAGACGACCGAACGGAAGAAAAAGGACGCGTCGAGGGAGTGCGTTTAGCGACGCGGGGAAGGGGAGGGGGTCTGACAGCGCTTGCACCCGGACGTCCGGTCCCATTGGCCCGTCGAACCGGACGCAGGTGAAGGACGGCGACGCGAAGGACAGCGGCGCCGAAGTCGAAAACCGGTAACAGATCAGAGACTGAAAACACGTCGAGCTATTTACCCCGCGCGAAAACTTGGATTCCAAACGAATTTTATTTTTCTCTGCCGCCGTTCCCCACTTACAATTTAAACTCGCCGCGCCGTTCGTGTTCCCGGGGACGAGGCCAGCGCGGCACGCAGCGCAGCCCGGCCTGCCCGGCCCGGCCGCACGACGATGCACTTACTTGAATTACGAGGCGTGCCGCGGACAGCGAATGTTATACACCGAATCGCGCGTATACATACATGCATGGCCCCGCGCAAATTTATGGCCGACCCCCTTATTAATTCCAGGTTCAGCACTCGCGTGTGATTGGTGTATCGTGTGCGCACTGTCGACCCGTAATCCCGTGACAAGATGGATGACAATCGGACCTTCTCTCCCTCCTCCTCCGTCCCCTCTTCTTCTTCTTCTTCTTCTTCTTCTTCTTTTTCTTCTTCTTCTTCTTCTTCTTCTTCTTCTTCTTCTTCTTCTTCTTCCGTACGGCTTCGTGATTAGTCCCGTGTTTAAATATTGAGAGTGAAACGACGGAAACTGTCCAAAAAAAAAGCTAGGTGGCGTGAAGCATGGGAGAGGCGGAACGCGACTTTACCATTAAAATGATGACGTAATTGTGTGTGTGTGTGTGTGTGTGTGTGTGTGTGGAGAGAAAGTGACGACTGAATTAGTTTGTTGCGTGTGGAGCGTTTATGCGTCGGCGCTGCAATGCACCTTCTGGGGATATTATTCTCTTGGCTCTGACACCAGGCGTCACACACACACACACACACACACACACACGTGGCACGGCTCCTCGTCACCGTTTTGAGGCGGCTTGGCTAGTGTATGCAGGTGCGTGGTCGTGGGCGGGGCTGTGCTGCAGGCTGCTGCTGGGGCGACATAACTCACGAGCCTGATTGGCTGTCGGTGGGCGAGTGCTGCCACCGCAGCCGGCTCGCCCTACACGCTACGTGGGGGGGCGTGCAGTGCACAAGTGCTCAGGGGAGCAGAAATCAGCCACGGAATTTCCAATCGTTACCATTTTTATGTGATACGTGAATTTTACTGTCTACTCATTGTGAAAAATTGCCTACCGCTAGGCCTACATCCATGTCGCTTCTTACGGGTCCAGCAAACGTTTGCGAAAGAGAGATTTGATTTTGATTTGATTTGATTTATTGTTAAGGACTTACAAACAAGCACTTAAGAGTGCCACTGGCATGCAAGCCCGCCCTCCAAATCAATAATTACAAATTCATGATAAAAATAGTTATAAACGAAAAATAGAGATAAACACTTATATGCTTGTCGCAAAGGACACCTTAAACTAATGGAACAACATAATTAATTATACAAAAATAGTTTGTACTCTAATTTGGTTTTAAAAGAAACGATCGTAATCACTTATAAACTAAAGGAACAACGTAATTAGCTTGTATAAAAAATATTTTGTCTATTTGGTTACATTATGAACAAGAATCACATCACAACAGACATGGTCGCATGAGGTCATAAGGAGGATAAGCTCTTTTCAACGAGATTTTTCACAAAGTTAACAGATCTGCCCAGGTGCTCATAAAGGTGGAGGTCGTTCCACATTTTGCTAGACTGTAGGAGAAATGAATTATGATATTTTTCTGTTCTGTGAATAGGTATTTGTAACTGTAACTTGCTTGACCTAGTGGAGCATCTATTACTTGTAGATATAAATTTGTATTTCTCAAATAAGTATGCTGGGGTTTCTGACTTAATAATTTTAAAGACCATCAGAGCAACAGCCAAAGCCCTTCTATTTTCGATTTTTAGAAACTGTAACTTGTCATAATAGGGTGTAATGTGCTCAAATCTGGAGGCTCCAGTTATGAAACGCACACATGCATTTTGCACTCTTTGCAGTCTAGCATTATTACAGTCAGTAATATCAGTAAAAAGTGCAGAGGCATAGTCAAGATGAGGCATCACCAGGGTCATGATCAGCATTTTCCTAATATTTGGAGGTATAAAAGAGAACGACCGCCTCAGCTGTGCTAAAGTTCCTAATATTTTCTGTATTAACAAAGTGCATTGGTCGGTCCAGCTCAGTGATCCATCGAACAACACTCCTAGATTATTAACAGTACTCTTATATGGAATGACACAGTCATTGACAATCAGCTCTGTAACAGTCATCCTGGATAAAATATTTAGAAATCTTTGGGATCCTAATATAATGGATTGAGTCTTTGATACATTTAGCAATAAATTATGCTTTTCACAATAATCTATTATATTCACCATATCGCTTCTTAGATAGTTCAAGTTATCATCCAAGGCATTCAAAGGAAAGTGAATATATAGCTGTATGTCATCAGCATACATCACGTATTTACAATGCTTTAAAACAGTAGGGAGATCAAATAAATATATAAGGAACAGCAATGGTCCCAGCACACTGCCCTGTGGTACCCCTGTGGTGATCTCAGCCCAGTCAGACATTTGATCTGATGCCACGACAACTCTATGACAGCGCATGGTGAGATATGACCGGAACCAATTTATAGCGGACTTTGAGAAACCTAGGCACTCCAGTTTGGTACATAGTAGTTCATGATGGACACAGTCAAAGGCTTTGCTTAGATCTAACAACACCAATAAAGATAGAAGTCTCTTGTCAATGGCTTCTCTGATATCATCAGTGACTTTTAGCAGTGCGGTAACAGTA